TTTTTTACTGGCAACAACATATAGGCTCAAAATGTTTTCTCACAGCTGTCATGTCCTAAGAATAGAAACATGCAGAGAAGTTTGCAGCTTGTCAGATCCTTACCACACTGTAGTCTTTACTGCAGTAATCCACCAGTGAAAGAGGAAGATGCCAAAACGGTGCATCTCCGTCAGTCTGTATATGTCCTTTAGAACAGGTGGTCTTGTTTGCTAACTGACCGTGGAAGATCTGAAAACACAAATTCACAAAAACCTGTTCATTTTATTTTAGTTCAGGTTTAATTAGGTTGCACTTGTTCACAATAAAAGTTGTCCAAAGCATTTTATACTATAAGGCAAAGACCCCATAATTAAAAAGTGATGTTTTGATCAAGATACCCTTTGACATCAATGACCTTACCTTTGATGCATCAGTGCTGGTCATTCTTAAAACCCTCTCAAAGTACTCTGCAGCATCACGCTGTTCATACACTGTGATAAATGCATATAATTTTTTTTTTTTTTTTAAAAGAAGTACATTTGTACAGAAGTATATTTGTAATTTTACCCTACAATTTTCCATTGTTATAAGAATTTAATAATTAGATCAATAATATTCATATTTTACTCTTATACAGTGCTCAGGAGTTTACACTGTTTGAAGTTTTTGTTGTTCTGTACCGTTGTCGATGCCCAGCTTCTGTGTTATTTTATATGTGTTTGCTGTATAGTTATGTAAGTCATCAAATAAGGCTTTCAGATGATGATCAAGAAACTCAGTGTGAGGATTTTCTTTAGAGTTCCTACAAAGAAAGTAAACATGAGTGATTAAAAATGCACAATAGACTTTATATATGATAAATACAGAATCATGCTTAAAGCTGGACAACAAACCTTGTCACAGCATCTCTGAAGTCTTCAGTCATGAACAGCACCTGCAGCACACTGTTCAAGTAACATGTAGATCCTTGGTTTATCAGCCCATGGTACGTATTAGCTGATGGGAAGAGAGAGCGCAAACAAAGAAGATATATATTTAAAACATT